AATGAGAAAAAGGTGACAGGAAAGACCATGGAGAAAGGTAGCAAAAATCCGAAGGCGAAGATGTCAGACTGGCCAGAAAGGAAATCGAGGGCCGAGGATGAAAATGATAAAGATAGACCGACAAAAGAGGAAACTACTCCCCTGACAGTATGCGCACCTCCTGAGCCTGGTTTGAGGGGAGCGTCGACCAACACAGGACCGAATGAGAATGAACCCAGAGTGGGAGTGGAAGTACATTCTCTTACGAATATTCCTGCAACTAGCGTCGAAGCCCAACTTGGGGCAGCCTCATCATCGGTCAGACCAATTATCCAACGGAATTCGTCGAATGGAGGTGCTGTGGACAGATCACAATGCATATTCGTTCATGGACTTCGTGAATCAACCAACGATAACCCAAGATGTAGGATAAATGTTGATATGATGACCTTGCAAGTGTGCCTGGATAGCTTAATAAAAGAAGATGAAGCCATTAAGATTCTGAAACTTTTCCGACTAAACAGTAAAGATAGCGCGAGCTCTCAAGGGATGAAACCAAGGCCTTTAAAGATAGTTTTAGAAAGTAAACTCCAGAGGGATCTTCTACTTGAACGAACAGTAGGGGGGATCCCTGGCCGTAGGGGTCTTTTTTTCAACCGGATTACTCAGTACAAGAGAGAATGAAATGGTGGGCGCTGAAGGCGGAGCTAGCGACCTTGAAAGCACAAGGAGAGAAAGGACTAGAAATAATGAACGGAGTGATTGTTCGACGACAAAGACCCCTCCTGTGGAGGACGCCTGTCATACTAACGAAGGCCACACGGCCGGGCAACTGATTCGACGCAACAACCTGCATTAAATTGAGTTCTTCTACGGAAATGTACAAAGCCTCTTGAACAAACTCGACGAACGTAGAATAATTGTGACCGAACTATATGCTGATGTTATTGCATTAACTGAAACGTGGCTCCCCCAGATGTCACAGATCCCCAAATGCACTTAGATGGTTATCAAGTGCTAAGACGAGACCGAACCAAAAAGCGAGGTGGCGGATTTGCCCTATATATCAGCAATGCGGTCGAATATAATACTGTTAAATTATGTGTAAATGAGCATGATCTGGAGATGCTGCAGTGTCATTTGCTGGTCCCCAAAGCCGAAAACGTTACTATCACCGTTGTATATAGGCCTCCAAATCAACCTGCCGACGAAGATCAAGCGTTAATCACTCGACTCCGCGAGGACGGTCGAAAGCAAAACATTATTACTGTAGGAGATTTCAATGCCCCTCGGATTAACTGGGACCTTATGACAGTTAATGCTTTAAGACATGGCATTTGATGAATTTCTGTTTCAACATGTACGAACTGTGATTCGGATGCGTAAAGGTCAGAGAGCTAGTTGCCTAGACCTTGTGTTTACCAAGAACGAGGAAAGCGTTGATGAAATAAATGTAGACCCGCCCCTAGGTTCTTGTGATCACATGACATTAATGTGGGAGTCGACACTCGTAGCTGTCCCCGAACGAAGCTCAAAGTCGTTAAGAAATGTCTGGCGGGGTAATTTTGAGGCAATGAAATTAGAGATTGGACACACACTATGGACGGAAGCATTACGAGGATACGTCAACGAATGCTGGAAAACCTTCGAGTCAACTATGAGAGACCTGATTGAACGATACTGTCCCCTCAAGAAACATCCAACCGGAAACAAACCGAAATGGTTGACAAAATCGGTTAAGAAGGAAATATGAAAAAAACGCAAGCTGTGGAAAATCTTCTTACAAACGGAGAACCCAGAAAAACTTCAGGAATTCAGACAACAACGAACCTTATGCAAAAGACTCATCCGTGAAGTACGAGCTTCTTATGAACTGAAGCTCCTAGAAGAGGTGCAGCAAAAACCTAAAGCTTTCTATGCATATATCAGGAGCAATAAAAAAAANCATATGGATGTCTACTGGGAAACGCTTTTTGAAATGGCACCCAAGTCCAATCTCAGACGACATGATTACCAGCTTAAAAGGGAACTGTGCCACACAAATCAACGCTCCTCCTTTATCTCACAGAGGGTCATTCGCCAATGGAACTATTTGCCGGAATTTGTTGTTAATTCCCCTACCGTGAACGTGTTCAAGAGACAACTGGATGCTTACCTGCTGAAAGGCAACCCGAACTGCCAAAGCCTGATCTAACGGATTACTGAAATGACTATAAATATACTACTAACAAGATTTCAACTGATCATATTTTGTGCGCCAAACATAGCCCATATTGAAATTTTCACAGTCCGAATGCGGTGAACAAAGTTTTTCGCAAATATTTAGCGAATTTAATACCCCTTTCGCCCTTATGTTACATTATTAGATTTATGAATTCTCCTTTCTAAAATACAAGCAGAAGCTTTGCAATTTAACTATTTTTCCTTATATCTGTACCTTATTGATGGAGTTTTCAGGGTTTCTGTCGTTTACTCCAAATATACTGACTGATACTGACTGAAAATTCGAAAGTCGTAACCGATGGTGTCCACCGCATACTCCACAACAGGCTGGGAGCAGGCACGCTGAATTGTGCACAATTATATTTAAAGTGGCAGAAGACATGCGCTGCGTCTACCGCACGCGCTCCTCCTCGTCTTTTTCCTTCCTTCCCTTTCTTCCTTCATCCGTCGCACTCGGTTCTGATTACATTCGATGGGATTGCCATAAATGCAACACTAAGAGATAGGCAATGCAGGTTGACTGTATGTCCGCCACTCCCCAAAAAAACACACACGACAGTTTGACCATCAAATTCGATGATGTCCACCGTGTGCTCCACACCAGGTGGGAGCAGGAACGGCGACTTACGCAGGGGTTTATAGTGCGTAGCATCTAGCTACACTCTCTCCTCCTCCCCCGCCTGAGCGCGGTGTCTAGACAGAGTCAAGAAGACTGGAGACAGGGGAGGCCGCAGGTGGATGGCTCGGACGGATTCTCACCTAGGCGTTCCACCACACCCCCCGTTGTTCCACACAACAGTAACCAGGATTTCAACCAACAACAGAGATTTGGAGGCTGGCACGGCCGAAGCCGCACCTAGGCGTGCCGCCGTCGCCTGGCTCGGATCCCACACTGTCGTGAGAGTACCATAAAGGCCACATTAAAAAGGAGCCATTGCAGCCTCACTCTCAGACCGCCTCCCGTTAAGGAGGAGGTCCAAGGTACTCCGTCAGTTGGCAACCTTCCAAGCCACGGCTTTTAGCGCACCGTGATAGTTTCAAGCGCGTCAGATTGAGTACAGTAAGGAGAAAGTGCGCTGAGTCGTCGACCTCACTCTCCCTTCCCATTCCCACACCCCAGCCGCCGTCCGAGCCGGTCGGCAAACTGGAGTGGGAAATGGGCGCGGTGGCTGACACGGTCGACTGACCATGCCTGGGCGCGCCACAGCACGACCTGGCCCCCCCATTCACACACAAACACCAGGATTTCACACAACGGGGGTTGAACGGCGTGTCTCTCATTTGGGTGAGAGGGCCGTGGAAGGTGCTGCTTCAGCCCGTCCCCAGCCCACCAGTCCGACACTCCACACAAAACACACACACACACACACAACGTGACGAACTGCGTGAACAGAGAGCGGGCGTCGATCAGCAACCTTCCTATCCACGACACTTGACGTGTCGGTATAGTCGCGGACTCAAGTCACCCGTGCAGCCGAAGCCGCATGGGGACCGAGTGGAGATGCACATTTCCCACTTGCGTGGAAGGTGGCAGTTTGTGCATGCTGTGGGTGAGTGTTGAGGCGTAGTGGTGATGGTGGAGGAGGATAGGAGGTGTGCGGATGTGTGATGTAACCGGTGGTTGTCTACCGCAGGTCGTCGTGGATGCGCATGTGGCCGGATAGGCCCATGCGATGCCTGAAAGTGCGAGGGCAGTGTGGGCAGTGGAGGCGAGTGCGGTGGGTGTAGGTTGGTGCTCCAGGCACTGGTTCACCAGTCTCTGTGCGATGGATTCGCAAGTGACCGACCAGGCCGATGCGAGAGGTGAAGGTGCGATCGCAGTGAGGGCAGATGTAGTCCTGGCCCTCACGTCTGATTATGGAGGTTGCAGGGGTTGTGCCTTTTGTTGTGTCATGTGCGGCTGTGGTGAAGTCTTGGGCGACAGACGCCGAAGCGGCCGTCGTTGTGGCGGTGAAGGAGGAAGAGGAGTAGGAAGGGGAGGAGTGAGGGGTGGTAAAGTCGATGGCATCGACGGCGATTGCGGAAAGGTTGGTGGGTGCACAAGGTGACGAATTGGGAGTGGGGCTCGGCGGAGTGGGTGTGTCGAGGTTGCGGTCAATTCCGC